GATCTCATTATTGAGCAAAAGGTTGACATCTGATTTTAACTCATGCCATCTCAATTTTACTGATGAGTAGACAGTCCCAGAGAGGATTTACTACTATCAAAGTGAATAATTTTTTTGGTATATTTGCCATTTGCCTTTTAGAGACAGGTAAAAGAAAGCGAGCACTGAAATAAACAATTTTAATAGAATGGGGTTTGGCAAATTATATTTGGCAAGTAAAAAGACAGATGTGACAATGTAGAACAAACAAAATAAGTGAAAGATCTCATGAAAAGTAAGAAAGATAGAGTTGAGGCTTTAGAAAAAGGATCTGACTTGACTGAAAGTTTCAATAGAGAAAGATGTAGATTCTAGTCTTCTGGTGAGAATGGCAGGCTGAATCCTGCAGCTGAATTATGAGGAGGAATGATCCAGCAGGTGTGTGATGCCTGGGGGAATCTATTGTGGTTTGTTCACAGCCTTGGGTGTTGCTGAAGGATGATGGAAGCAAGGAGTGAAGCTAACTCGATAGCAGAGGATCCCCAGAGTCATCACTGTGATTTAAAGTTTCCGAGAATGAAGTTTGGAGCATTTGGGGAAAATTTGCCTGGAGGAAGGTAGATGTTGGTTGAGGAGATTGTAGAACTGTGTCAATATGTCATGTTGAAATGGCTGATTTATGTTTATTTTGGCCACTTTTATATATTACTGCTATTATTTTTGCAAAAATTCACTCATTGTGGCCTTTTTATGTCTGCTCTATGCTGCAGTAATTTGCATCAGAAAATTATGGCATTAGTCTTTAAAAATGCAGGGTGCACTTAGTTGTCACTTAAAATAGAAAACATCTTTAAAGCACTAAATTCTCTCTTTTTAAAAATGATTTATTTACTTTTTGAAAGGCAGAGCTAGAGAGAGAGAGAGAGAGAGAGAGAGAGAGAGAGGGAGAGAGAGAGAGATCCATCTTCCATTGTCTTGTTCACTTCCCAAATGACTGCAATGGCCATGGCTGACCCAGGCAGAAGCCAGGAGCCTGGGGCTTCTTCCAGGTCTCCCAGGCCCAACCACTTGGACCATTCTCCACTGCTAGCCCAGGCATATTAGCAGGGATCTGGATTGGGAGTGGAGCTGCTAGGACTCAAACGGGCACCCATGTGGGATGTCAGTATCACAGGTGATGGTTTACCTTCTACACTACCACACTGGCCCCAGAAAGCACTAACTTTAAGATGACCTTCGGTGTGAAAAAATTAAAAAAGGGTCTCTCTTGGAGAAAATATTCTTGTCTAGGAATTATGTATGTTTAAGATTGCTATGCAACCTAAATCATATAAAATGAATTTCTCATCATATATTCTGTATCTCCATAGCATACATTGGCACTTTAATCTCATAAGGACATTATCCTAATAATAATAATGACATAATTGTTATTGCTATTATTTGTGTCACACTAGACCCTTTCACATGAAGATAGAATAGGAAGATATGCTCTTTTCTATTTTTAGTCCAGGAAATTAAGGCTTAGAAGTTAAGTTACTTGTTAAGATGTCTAGTCTGTCATAAATGAGGTCAGGTTTAACAGTCCTGACTTCTTAATATAAGTACAGTCTTCATTCACTGTATCAGGATGTCTTCATGTAGCATATCACAATGCTTTGATATATTGTCATCTCAATCACTGTGTTTTTATATATCTCTTCAAATACATTGTAGGCTATTGGAAATTGCAACAAAATATTTTGTTTCATTTTGCTTACCCAAACTTCATAGAAAGTAAATACTATTTGTTCATAATTTTTCAAAGGCATACATATTATAATATATATCATAATATCTAATCTTAGTGCTAGAACATGTACATGCAGAAAAATGAGGCAATATCATTATCCTCCAAATGTTCAGTCAGATAGGAGAAGAAGGGTAATAAATCCAGCAGTAACTATGGCTACTTCCTTGTCATTCAAATTCCAGCTTAAGTGCCCCCTCAGGAAAGGCTCCCCTGACCCCCAGTCTGAGAATATTCTCCTCCTTAAACCATAATCCATCTTGTCACTTCCTGAGAAAGACCTTTTCCAAATCCTCTCTTTAAAACAGCCCTGAGACAAACAACTCTTCAATGCTTATCCCTTCCCAAATTTTTATAGTTATTCACTTGGCTTATTATCTATCTCCTTTCCTGATAGTAAAAGGTTCACAGAAAGAGGGAAAGTGCTTGTCCTGTTCCATGCTATATACTTACCTCAAAGAATAGGAGATGTGAGATATTTTGTGCATGAAGGGATAATTTAATCTAGTTTCATAACTTTAAATACTATGTAAATATGGACAATTACTAAGTTTAATCTCTAAAATGTATATCTCCAACCTTTATCTCACTAATGAATCCTAGATGAATGTATTCAGTTGCCTACTTCTCTCCTCATGAATGTATAATAGGCAATAAAACAATGTTTTCAAATTAGGACATTTTGTGTTTACTTTCTCTTCTTTTGTTAAATTATGTTTTTTTCTATAATATTTCCTGTTTAATGAATTTTTTCATTATCTGCCTACTTGTTCAAGTCAAAACCCATAGATTAAATCTAATACCTATCATGTCAGATCTGCTTAGAAAATATGAGAGCGTTGAAGAAATCTCTTAGAAAAATAGAGCTAAAAGCTGTTTATTTTGGTGTAAAATATTTTGAAACCACACACACACACACACACACATACATATACACACACATACAGTCTTCAAAAAGTTTACAGAAAATATATATTATGAATAAACTATACATGGATTCCAAAAATTTTGTGCACCAAGACTTTTTAAAGAATCCTTATATAATTACTTTAACTAAAATACTGGAGAGCAGCTACTTTGGGAAAGAAAATTTCATTCAGCTTATGATTTGAGGTTACAGAATTTGGCAGCCCCTGGTCCAGTATTTGTGGAGGCTGCTTATGACAGATATAGAGGCATAATCACATGGTAGGCCATGGAAGGAGAGAGAACCTAGGCCAAACTTGAATTCAAATAATCAAACCTCTCTTGAGAGCCCTCCCTGAGAGGGTGTATTCCCAATGACCCAAAGAACTCTCTAGGAACCTACCTCTCAGAGGCCATAATTAGATCAAGTGTTCACCCTTAATCAACCAACCATTGACATAAAAATGCCTATAACAGCTTGGCATATGTTGGGCTGAAGGTGGGAGCTAGGAACACAATCTAGATTTGTCTGTAGCTGGTAGAAACCCAAATGCCTGAGACATCACTGGCTGCCTCCCAAGGTGTGCATAATCAGGATGCTATAGTCATAGCTGGTCTCAGGTATTGAATCAGGGCATTTTGATATGGAATTCAGATTACCCACTGAATGCCTACCCCCCCTTATCAGGTTTTCAATATTCTCTTTACTCACTAGCTATATAATAATATTTCAATTGGTGAGGTGTTTTAAATCCCTTCCCTGCAAACTAATACCCATATAAACTTGGGCAAGTCACCTAACCTCTCTATGCAATTTTTTTAAAGTAGGATTTTTTCAGAATTAAATGGGATGCTGCATATAGAATGGTACATTGTAAGCACTCAATGTATTTCAGTCAAATTATAAAAATGATAATTTTCAGTATTAATATTTATTAGTCTGTTGACATTAACATTTGAAAATCTTCCCTTTTGAGCAAGCTTATTTTTACTTAGATGTAAGTTTATATAATACCAGTATAGTTTTCCTTTACTGTGTATACTTTGACTACATGTATTAATGAAGTTTACTGTAGCATCTATGAATAATAGATGACTGAATCTAAATAGGTTAACACAATAAAAGTTTATTACCAACTGATGGCAGTGGGTTGATGTTAGCTCTACTCAATGAGAAACCCAGGTTGATTTCTCTTTCTCTTCAAATAACTGGTTTACAAGGTCTCCCTTGGCTAGTGGTTTTAACTGGCTAGTGGGGGAAGAGAGAGAGAGAGATCACTGAAGATTTTTTAAATTCTTATTTATTTGAAAGGTGGAGAAAGAGACACCTTCCACCTACTAGTTTACTTCCCAAATCCCCTCAGAAGGTAAGGCTGGGTTGTGCCAGAGCCAGGAGCCAGGAGCCAGGAGCCAGGAGCCAGGAACTCAGTCTGGGTCTCACACAGATGATGTGGACTAGGATGAGCATTGGCAGGAAACTTGGAATCAGGAGGAGAACCAGTACTCCAGCTTAGGAACTCTGATACGGGATGCCAGTGTCCCAGCTGATGGCTGCACCACGTGCCACTGTGACCTTTGAGGAATAGCAGATTCCTATAACCTAAGCCTGGAAGTGGGATACTTCTTTTCTGACCTCATTCCATCTGCTAGCGCTTTATCACACGTGTCCACAAAATACAAGGGGAGCTGGGAAATGTGAGCTGTCGCTAGGCAGTGGCTTTACAGCAACGATTCTGAACTGTTGAAGGGATTACAAATCTTTAGGAGACAACCAGCTATTTCTGCCATATTATTAAAGCTCTACTAATGGTGAGATCTTATTAGAGCAGTTCCTTTAAGTAATAGGAGTCATATTGTGTGAAACAATGATGTCTAATTTGCTCTTGATTGCTAGCATTGTCCTCCGAATCATCTACTCTTTCCATGAGGCTACATTTAATCTCCTTGAGTATACTTACATACAGTGGAAAAATCTATATTTAAAAATGTAGGAGTCACTATGAAAAGTCACATATATCCCCCCTTTCTTTTTTAAAAAAGAAGCAACTCAAAGTCATGATTAAGCCTCCTTCAAAGAATCTTTCCCCCATTAGTGAAAGAGTAGAGCTCACTTTAGGAAGCTAGATTTAATGTTGATGCATTGAAAACCAAAGTGGCAAAATGACAGACAGGGCTTATTTGGAAAAAAAGAGTTTGGGTGTGCATTTACCAGTATTTGGGAAAACTGTAAATTATACAAGAACAGGAAACTTTTTATACAAGGGAAGTCTTTGTTCAGATGTAAAAGATTGTGGGAGAGGAATGTGGTTCCCAGGAATATGCTTACCCTTCTCTTGTGAGTCTCTTGCACACGTGGTGTAGTGCTCAATTTTGTCTGAGAACACACTAGGATCAGGAATTGCATAGAAATTACAATCCTGGAAATGCTGACACGTTGATAATCTCAAACTTCAATCACCTGTGACGGGGATTTTGTGATTCACATTTCTGCAACAGAGGTGGCTGCCAAGGCTGAAAAGGGTTTGGAACTTTGTGTCAATAGGATGAAGTAGGTTCACAAGGCTACTTGCACCATGATCAATGTTTCTATTTTTTAAGATGTATTTACTTATTTGAAAGGCAGGGTTATGGGGAGAGAGGTAGGGAGGAGGAGAGAGAGAGAAAGAGAGAAATTGATTGATTGATCTTCCATCTGCTGATTCAATCCCCAAATGGCTGCAAACGTTGCAGCTGGGCTGATCCAAAGCCAGGAGCTAGGAGTTTTTCCAGGTCTCCCAAGTAGGTGCAGGGGCCCAAGCACTTGGGCCATCTTCAACTGCTTTTCCAGGTGCATTAGCAGGGAGCTGGATCTGAACTGGAGCAGCTAAAAATTGAACTGGTGCCCACATGGGATGCTGGTGCCACAGGCAGCAGCATTACTGGGTATGCTAGAGCAAATTTTTTCTACATTCAACCACAGGTAAAAGTTTTCCTTGAGATAAAAAATTATGATATATAGAAAATTAGGAAGAAAATCCTGTAGTATTATCAGGTCAAATCTTGAGGGAGTCATACTTTTAGAAATTACAGAATGTTCTAAATTGTGATTATTTTATATAGAATCAATAACTGTGCTGTTAATAAACAGCTACACATGGTATAGTTTTATTAGACAAATGTCCTGAGTCTCAGTTAACTATACCTGAACTACATCTGAAGGAACAATCTCATATCAAGTGAAAAAGGAAATTAATAGCTCAAAATAATAATGGACATTTATTGACATTAATTTATGCAATACAGTTTAAGTGCTCTATTTTTATTATCCCAAATAATCTTATAGGATAGGTTCTTTTATAATATCATTTTAGAGATAAGAAACGTACTTTAACTACCTCAGTTTTACATATGAAAAAAACTAAGGCTTACAGTGGTTATAACTAACCTGCCCGAGTTTGGGTAACAAGTATAGGGCTGTATTGTAACTCAGGCAACTTGACTAGGGACTACACACTGAACATTTTGGTGTCATGTAATTCATTTATTTCCTTTGACCATCATGTCTAGTTATCTTTACCAGAGTCCCTTTCCATTTTTATGTCATTGTTCATTCATTTTCTCCTGCATTTCATAAGCATTTATTGATTGAAGATTGTGCACAGGTACTCTGTAAGGATTATGACAACACTAATCTTATTGATTCGAATCATTCCTTCCTGGTACCCATCTTGAATTACTCCTTCCAGACCACGTCTTTCACTCCTGCTTTCACCTAAGCTCTTTTGCCTCTTCTTGAAAACACCAATCCGATCTTCATTTCCTGCTGAACTACGTAACTACATGTCCTTCCCTCTCATTTCTACCTTCATGCCTCACACGTTTCCTTGCTCTGCAATTTATCTAAATCCTAGTCATCTTCAGAGGTGAGTTTTCTCATGTAGTTACTACTCATAGCCTGAGAGATGTAATATACTATGGCTCAATCTGGTATAATTTATTCAAAATATACAATACAAGAGTAAAAATTTATACATGTTCCTTATGAAAACACAGCCCCAGTTGGGGGAAAACCAGCTATCTTCTTCACTGTCTCCATCCATCCCATCAAGTAACCAATGTTAATACTTTGTACTATTCTCTATCCTTTTCTCTGTGTGTTTGAACTACAGGGACTATAATCTAAGTGTGTTCTCAGCTAGTGCTACATGTTTCTGAATCCTGTAATAATAAACTATTTAATATAACTCCATCAAGATGAAACCATTGGGACTGGCTTTGTAGCACAGTGAGGTAAGCTGCCACCTACAATGCTGGCAACTCATACTGGAGCGCTGTTGTGAGTGTGGGCTGCTTTGCTTCCAATCCAGCTCCTGGCTAATGCTCCTGGGAAAGCAGCAGAAGATGGCCTGGGAACTTGGTCCCCTGTCGCCCATGTGGGAGACCTGGATGGAGCTCTGGCCTCCTTGCTGTGGCCTGGACCAGCTCAAGCTTTTTAGCCATTTAGGGAATGAAACACTCACTCTCTCTCTCTCTCTCTCTCTCTCTCTTTCTCTATGTCCCTACCTAAAAAAAGACAAAAAAAGCAAAACAATCAAAAAGGTAAAATCTCATTCCAGTTCTTGGATCTACGAATAGATTATTATCTTATTAAATTATATACATGATTATTGCCTATTGATATATGTGTCTGTTTAGAAGGTAAAATTAAAACAGAATTGCTTATAATATGTTGAGTGTGGGGAGCAACTCGGACTAGACTAAGTTACTGGAATTAAGACTTATTCTATGCATCTGCTCTCCCACAATATGGCGCTGGGAGAGAAGAAAACAGCTTCTACACAGCTGCCTCCAGTTCAGCCAATAAACAGCAGGACCTGCTCCTGATTGGAGGAGAGCAGCGTGCTCGGCGTGTGGGCAGCCGAGTTGGGATTGGCAGAGGAGGATTATAAAGGAGGAGAGAGACGGCATGCACCAGGAACATCTAAGGGGAACATCTAAGGGGAACACCTGTGCAGCCCCCGAGAGAGCCGGCCGGCGGTGTGCTGCTCCCCTGCAGAAGTGGGGAATGTGGCAGGGGGAACCGCCCTTCCACGGAGGTGGAAGGGACAGTAGCCAACCCGGGAAGAACCAGCAGCAAACCCGGGGAGGGCCGAGCAGACGAAAGAACAGTGCAGGGTCCTGTGTCGTTCCTCCACGAAGAGGGGGAGCGACAGTTGAGGGGTGTGTCCTGTGCAAGGAAATTATTTAACATGTTCATGGTCTTACCACAATATTAATTATTCAATAGAGTCTGATATTTGTATTATAGGCCATGCATATTTTTAAAAAAATTAAGACATTCAAAATGTACTTTAACTATATTTTTGTTTAAAAAATAGTAGATACACTTGTTTAAAATTCTATATTAATTTTTGTTTATTTGAGAGACAGTGAGACAAAGAGAAAGAGCTCTCTCAGCTGCTGATTCATTCCCCAAATGCCCATATCAGCCAAGATTGAGCTGGGCTGAAGCTGGAAGCTGCAAGCTCAATCCATTCATCTACACGAGTGGCAGAAACCCAATTTCCTGAGCCATCACCACTGCCTCACAGGGTCTGCATTAGTGGTACCAGCACAATGCTGGCACCCTAGCTGATGAGGGGGGACCTCTATATAGAATCTTTTCTTCCCTGAAGTGGAGCTGAAAACAAAACCCAAGCTGAGTGTCAACAGCATAGGTTTATTTAGTGGTCAAAGAATGGAGGAATGGGAGCCTAGCTCAAAATCAGCTTCTCAGCTTTTTGAGGGCTGAAGAGTCATAGATGTAGGGTAGCATGAATGAGGAAGAAGAAGAATAACATCTTTTCCTGGAACAGGCTAAGCCTTTTTGGAACTTAGCTGCAAGCCCCACGGTTTTTGTCCCTTTTATGGTCTGCTATTTCCTGTCATGGTGGCTGGTAGATGTGTTATTTAGTTTGCAAATTAGATTAGAATAGAGTTTGAAGTCTTTTGGAGGTTACTCAAGCAGTCATGTTGAGTCTAGGTAGCTTTGGCCCTGTAGCCTGAGAAGGAATATCTGACCACAAGCCATCCTGTTCTCAGAGAGAAACAGTATTAGGCATTAGCAGGAAGCTGGAGTCCAGAACCAGAGCCAGGAATTAAACCCTGGTGCTCCAACATGGGATGGGGGTGTTTTAACTGGCATCCTAATTGGTAAGCAGTATGTCTATGCCTGTCTGATAATCTTACGTAGAAGTATGAATGCTATAGAATGATATAGGTAAATTTCTAAATCAATTGGCATTTAAAATTTTTGTGAGTTTGAGTCTTTGTTCTTCCAATTATTAGTTGTATGATGTAAGGTAACTTATTTAGCTTCTGTGTGCCTTAATTTCCTTATTTGAAATGTAGAAAAATAATCAGTGTAAGTGTAAACAGTTAAGGTGATATTTAACCAAGATAATACGATAAAGCACTTAGAAGAATGGGACCTGCAAAGGGCTTTGGAGGTGTTAAAGTTTATTCAATTTAAAAAGACTTCCAGGAATAATGATTCCAAAGAGTACTTTAGAAAGCTTGTTTCACAGTGACCTGAACTCAGCTGTCTTGGTCCAGAGGATTATGTAAATAGCAACCAGAATTATTGTAGTACAAAATAAAATTCCTGGTTCAGTTCTCTGCTCCAAACTTCTCCTGACTTACTTCCTGTGGAGCATGCGTACCTGATGTATATAGGAACTAGCTGAAATGTCCTTCACCTTGATCAAGGTCAAGGGTGTCTGCTGAACTAACAAATCTTCCTGAATTTAAAGTGGTGAGAAGGCAGCATAAATAAACCATATGACTTTGTTGACAGCAAATTCTTGACAGATAAGATTATGTATGCTTATAATTAGTGACAGATGGATTTGAAAATGGACATAGTATCTTATGTATTAGCAACACTAATAGTGACTTGGACACTTGTCTCAGTTGCTTGTTAAAATAATGAGAGCTTATAAAACAGAAATATGAGTTATAAAGATCAAAAATTTGAAGTATGGAAAACCATTATACTTGTATTGATGCCTTGACTTCGATAAAGAACAGAATTAATATTACAGGTCTCAGAGAAAACTATATTTTCAGTTGAAGATCATGAATATTTTGACTAAGAAATTTTGAACAGATGTACTTAATTTGATACTATTTCTCACTTTGGTTTGCTGAGTTAATAAGTCAGTTAATAGCAATATTTTTCTTAGACTTGCAATGAGTTATTAAAAATTTAATATATATAATGGTAATATCACACTTGGCATATCGGAAGTGGTATATAAATCATGCCTATTGTTATTCTTACTATTATTCTGAAGTAGGTATTTTGTTTTTCTTATTTCAGTGGTTGATAAAAATCACTTTGCTAGCCAAAAGAGGATTTATTCTGCTGCAGAATTTAGATTAATAAAATATCAGTTTAAATGAATCAATGAGCTATAGTTGTATAATAAAAAATTGAGTAAAATTTTAGAAGAAATATGCTTTATGTTCAGTTAAAATACCATATCAGTATTGGGTAACTGATATTGCATATGCTAAGGATTTAGACCTATTTTTTAATCCATAAGATATAATATTGCTAACATGCTATATGCCTATTGCTTTGATATAGAGAAATTCTTACAGAGTGGTATGGTTTGAACATGATTTGACTCTCAAAATCATGCAGAACCTTAAACGCCTAAGTAATACGGGAAAGGTACAAGGGTGAAAGTAATCTGTTTATGGTGTTCAGGAGGTTGGCCTAGTGGTGGATTCTTGGGGTAGTTGGGAGCCTCCCTTCAGAAGGTAGTTCTTGTGAGAGGTTGGTTTTAAAGTCAAATTGGGCCCAGCCTCTCTGCTTCCTGGCTCACCACGTGATCCTTCCTCTGCAAGCTCTCCACCGCTGTCATTCACCACCCTTATCAGGGGCTAAACCAAAGGGGCCACTCAATCTCGGACCTTGAAGTCTCAGATCCGTGAGCCAAAATAAACATTCCTTTATAAACAGCTTGTCTTAGGTATTTCATTATAGTAACTCAAAGCTGAGTAATATACTTAGTGCTTAAATCTGGGTACAAAACGTTGATTGTAGACTCTGGATCAAATCCATTCTAAATGAGATCAGATATTGTTTTGTAGCTACTGGATAGCTAATTTTTAACCTTGCCATTATAATTTTTTTAAGATTAATTTTGGAAGTCTGACACTGTGAGAGAGGAAGAGTCAGAGAAAGAATCTTTTATCCGCTGGTTCATTCCCCCAGTGGCCACAACAGCCAGTGCTGGGTCAGGCCGAAGCCAGCATCCACGAGCTTCTTCCAGGTCTCCAATGTGAGTGGCAGGGGCCCAAGGAGCTGGGCCATCATCCGCTGCTATTCCTAGCCCATTAGCAGGGAGCTGGATCATAAGTGGAGCAGCCAAGATGGGAACTGGCGCCCAGTATGGGATGCTGGTATTGCAAGCAGCTGCTTTACTGGCTGTGCAACAGTGTTGGGCCCTATTGATTCCTCTTTCGTGTTCTCTATTCTACTGCATGATACTCATGAATTAAAATTCCAAGCCAACTTGTCTCGGTTCTGAGAACTAACAGAACTCTGGGCTTTAGAGCAGAAACAGCAGCATGCTGACTAATAATTTTTACCCATTTGTTTGTGTTATTTATCCTTTGTACTCCTTGGGGAAAAGTATTGGTTAGATCTATGTTGCATAGGAAGAACAATAGCTATTCATCTATGCTATCTATTCTTAGAGATTGGAATATTTTGTTTTTCAAAGTTCAGAAAGTATGGTAAACAGCCTGAAGGGTGAGAGAATCACCAGCATTTAAGATAATACTTCTGTTAGTTTACTAAGAACTAGGATTTGAGTCGTTGTGACTGGAGTCATTCCTAGAATGCAATAATTAGTAAGCATGATCAACATTACCATTCTAAGTCTAAACTTTCAAGTCAACAGAATTGTGGTTCCTGTTTCCATTTTTAGGATGTACACCTCTGACGCTCTCTGTAATTCCAAAAGAAGACCTTCTTTGGAAGGCAATTAATAAGCCTCTTTTTTTCCAGCTAATGTTTACAGTTAAGATAATGAAAGAAGTAGTTGCACATTGCGTGTTTCTAGATATAAATTGTTAGTGATTCATTATATCTTAATTTGCAATCATTAAAATATTTATGTTAAAAAGTATGGTAGAAGTTCCAAATTATGATTGCAGTATTGAACGACACACGTGGAGTTCTCTTGACACCAAAATAGCCAGCATAGTGGATTCCTTTGAGACATTCCCCACAACTGATATGAACAACAATCATCTTTTCTGATTTTAAAGTGCAGTGCTGGCATCCCATGTGGGTGCCAGTTCAAGTCCTGACTGCTCCATTTTTCATCCACCTCTCTGCTCTGGCCGGGGAAAGCAGAAGATGGACCAAGTCCTTGGGTTCCTGCACCTGTGAGGGAGACCAAGATGAGGTTCCTGGCTCCTGGCTCCTGGCTTTGCATTGGCCCAGCTCCAGCTATTGTGGCCATTTGGGGAGTGAACCAATAGATGGAAGACTTTCTCTTTCTTTGTGACTCTGGCTTTCAAATAAATTAATAATTTTTTAAAAAATTTAAAAGTGACTTACACTAAAAGGATAAAGAATGTCATCTCATTAACTCTTACCTCTTTTGCTCCACGTGGAGTTTATTATTGACCCTATGGCTTGTAACTATTCTCTTGAGTGAGGCTCTGTAAGTTCCATCTTAGCCTTTCTGAAGCATTTGTCACAGTTGTCCACAACCTCCTTCTCAAAGCCATCTTCCATGACCTTGTGTTCCTGGATTATCCTGCTGGCCCTGTTCTTCCTCATCTCATTCTAAAATTCTGAGCTCATTGTTTTGCTCATGACTTCATATTCTTGAAACTTCATAGGTTCCACCATTGAAGCAAGTGGCTTCCTGACTCTGCTTGGGCCCATACATTTTCTGAGTATTTATCCTACATTTCCAAGTACTTGAAGAATTTGTTTCCCAGTGTTAGTCTGTTGCTCAATGTATCTAAATAAAGTCCTCTCTTATTTCTCTCATCTCAATTATTGAATCAAAGTTTCTCATCCATGGTTTCCCCCCTAGTAATATAAATTACATAAAGCTGACAGGTTCATCCTCTGAAAGCAAGGTTCCAACCACACACTTTTTTTCTGCAGCAAATTTTCAACTGAATGTAGTGTTCCCATCCAGTAATACCACCAACTTCTTCGGGTTGTGATGAAGATTAAAAAAGATATCTCAGGTAAAGGTAACTAACATTATATCTGGCATATAGAAAGATATTATTCATGACTATGGCTAATTATATTATCTCCTTATTGCTAACTTTATTACTGCAAATACTTTCTGCCTTTTCAGTGTCATTAGAATTAATTTACTGATACATTCTTAGTAATCATTCATATGAAAAGGTTCATTACTTGATGACCGTTCCAAATGATAATATTTCTGAGCAATGTGACTTACTAGATTTTATGCGATTATAAACTAGAAATCATAAGAAGATTAATAATTTCCCAGGGGGAAAGAGAACTAGACTACACATCAAAGGCTTCTGTGTCTATCCAGATTCTGCCACTGGGGTAAACACTTTTTACCTTCTGTGTCCTCAGTTTGTTGCTTCTAAGTTAGATATCTGATATGAAATCTGTTTTATTTATATAAATAAAAATAAACACTTTCTTGAGGTGCAGAAAGACACAAAGAGAAAGCAGGAGAGGGAGATAGAACAAGAGAGAAAGAGAGAGACAGAGAGTCAGAGATTAATAGACAGTGAGCTCCAATCCATTGTTTAACTCTTTAAATGCTTTCTACTGCTGGGGGCTAAAGCCAGGAGCCAGGAACTCAGTTCAGGTGTTCTGCTGGGTGACAGAAACCCAAGTTCTTGAGTCTTCATCTTCAGAGTGTGTGCCTTAGCAGAAAGCTGGAGTCAGGAGCTGAAGACAGATGTGCAACCCAGGTATTCCCATGTGGGGAACAGATATCTTAATTTCTAGGTCAAGTGGCTACTCTTGAATATATTTTCTGATTCCTTCTCTGAGAGAGTTTTGGCACACGTTGGATAGATCGTAGCCCTACCCAAAGAGAGACTTGGTTCCTTTGACTTTGTGGAAGAGCTATCTCCTCTGCTAGACTCTCATATAAACTCCTCTTGTCACACTTACCAAAATAAGATTCCAACATAGGACCAACATCCTTAATGACAAAGTCTAAATGTTTGAGAACACTATTGTTTGAGTTATTCCCAAAAGTTAAAAAAACACAATAATACACTACTAGTAGTGAACTATTAACAGCATCTTATTAATTTGTATAGAAGAAAAAGAGGAAAAAACATGCTGTGGGAATCATAAATGGACTGTGCAATACTGTTCTCCATCCATAAAGTGCCATTACCTGTCACACGAGTTTAAAAGTGAAAAAGCTTACTCATACAGCTTGATGACAAAGCATATGTGCAAATTGGATACAAGTCATTAGAGACTCAGTCGAGTTGAGGAGGAAGGAGGCTGTGTTTTCTATCTGCTCCTGTTTCTTGGTTGAATGCTATTATAGGATGTGCTGCTTCTTGATGGGTTCAAACTATTGGCCCTCAGCCCAGTGAAGAAAAAGTGGAATATAAAAATAGCTGGTGCTGGATGTTTCCCCTGTAGATCATATAGTCAGTTCTGTTTGTTAACATTCTGCAAAACATTTTAATTATCTCATGTAACCTAGTAGATCTCTTTACCACTGATCTTTAATGTATTTCTGAAAGACTGTTAACAATGTAACTTGCAAGTAAGAGATAACTTTGTATTTTGGTGATGGTCATAAATATACTAATTTCTTGTTGATTTTAGCTGTCCTTCACTGCATACATATTTTCCCCTATTTCATAGAAACATTATACCTTAATAATGAACCATGATATATACAAAGGAATATTATTCAACTTTTAAAAAAGGACATTCTAGGTTTGGATGCTGGTGTGGCATAGTGCTAAAGCCATTGTCTGCAATGCTGGCATCTCCTGCCACCTAATTGGGAGACCCAGATGAAGCTCCTGGCTCCTGGCTTCCACTTGGCCCACCACTGTTGTTGTGGCCATCTTAGAGTGAACCAGTAGATGGAATACATCTGTCTGTCTATCTCTTGCTTGCTCTCTTACTCTCACTCTTTCAGTCTCTCTATCTCCCTGTAACTTTGACTTCCAAATAAATGAATAAATCTTAAAAAAATGAAATTCTGACACATACTGAAATCTGGATGAACTTTGATGATACGGTGCCAAGTGAAATAGATAATCACAAATATACTTCATGATTCCACTTACATGAAGTGCTTTGTGTAGTCAAATTCATAGACATAGAAGGTAGAATGGTAATTTCTAGGGGCTGCTGTAGATTGAGGTCACTGTACCTATCAAATAAATAAGTAAATAAAAATCTTAAAAAAGAAGTGTGATTTAATGGTTGTAGCATCTCAGTTTGGGACAATGAGTAAGTTCTGAAGATGACTTATGGTGCTGATTGTACAACAATGTGAATGCACTTAATGCTGCTGAACTGTATGACTAAAAATGATTCAAATGATACATTTTTTTAAAATTAAAAAAATGAAAAAATGATACATTTTATGTTCTATGTAATTGACCATAATAAAAAATGAGCCATTTTTTCAAGGGATGTGTTTTTCAAACTGCACTGAAGCATTAGCTTACTTTAAAAACAAATTTAGGTAGATCATGATCAGTATTTAAATAACAACAGAAACATAACAGCATAGAATATGAGGACATTACGCAAAGGAATTGTAAGTATTGTTGAAACTTCTGTTTCATGACTACTTAGCCAAATGGCATTGGTGTGTAGTCATTTACCGCTAACGTCTTGTTTTCTATGATTAATGCTCTATTCTGATTAGATGCCAATGACGCAACGGTTGTGAAATATTTTGCAAAATCACTTCTGTATGTATAGATACTTGTGATTGAGACACACAAAAAAATTGAAAGACAAAAATTTCTTATAGGAGAAATTCTGATAGACAGGCAAGAAACTTCTGCAAAGAAAAATTCCAGGAACCACTGTCCAGTACATACGTATAGTTTTAATTACAGCTTTGGCAATCAAGTTTTACCTGTCTTGATTTTGTGGAAGATGCAATCACCTATTCAGAGAAACACGCTCTCACCAATGCTGAAGCACTGATTAAACAAAATGAGTCTCTGTGAACCCAGGTGGCTGAAGTCAGATGACTGAAAACTGACTAGGCTCTAGAGTTTGTACATGGAGGACTCATCTGTGATTTTGTGGTTTTGCCTTTTTTTTCCAAACTTTTTTGCCCAGCCCAGTCTAAGCCAATTTGCTGTGTAATTTGTCTAAAACCTTTCTTGACTCAGCAGCCATAAATCCATCCAATTGTTCATTGCAACTCAAGGGCAATGTCCTGGGACTATTTGGGGCTTAATTTCACTGGATCATTAGTGCATAGCTCCCTGGAGAATGTTAACATTTTAGTTTTCCACGATGTTCATCCAAAGGAGCCAAAACTTCCTTCACAGATGGCAGTTACTGGTGGCTGGCAAGCAAGCTGATGGATGAATTCTTTTTCTTTTGGCACTGGGCAGGGGAGCACGCTTGGTGCTATGTCTGTGGCAAACTACTCATTAGCCTGGCTTTTAAAGGCTACTGGAGATGCTGTTGGTGTATGATGCTGTTTGAATTCTGCTCACCATTCTACATCCAACTGGACTAAATAGGTTAATTGCTCAGAGGAATTAGCTCCTCCAATGTGGCTAGCCTAACATCTGTGTAGTAAACACTTACCAAGAATTACTCTTGTGACCTTACAACTGCTCTCTCTGGAAGCAGTAGCCTGATTGAAAGAGTTTTATGACAACTGTATGAGACAGGCATGATGAAATATGTCCTCTACCCAACTTCTTGCTCATTGTTAGATATGCTTCAGCATTTATATTTGTGATAAACTGTGCAGTCAGTGAATTCCAAGCTCACCAAGACTCCATGTTATTTCCCATAATCCAGGGACAAAAGAATGCAGTGCTAAGTATAAGACAAGTTTAAGAATGTATTAATTTCTTATCTACTCACATTCATCACAAAGACAAATAGCTGGACTTAGAACTGCTAAACACTCATGAATTTTGAAGTTACAACAGAATTTGAATAGTGATTACTTTCAGATCTCATTTCTTGGTTTTTCTATTTAAGTAGGAAATTTCTTTTTAGGCAATGAGAACAATGTTGTAACTTTTTCCCTTGCTTTCTTAGTTTTTAAAATTTCTCCTTCCAGTCCCTCTGTACTTCACCCTCGCCTACAATTCCTAGTTAACCACTGATCTGCTTTTTATTATTATGGATTATTTTACATTTGGTAGAATTTTATGGAAATGGAATAAAATATGTTCTTAAAATTTGGCTTTTTCACTTAGTGTAATTAGTTGAGAAGTATCTATATCAGATGCTTATATCAGAAATGCATTCCTTTTTATGACAATATTATATAGTTGCAGCAGAATTTATTTATCCATTTACCTGGTGATAGCTATTTGGTTTATTTCCAGTTTTGATTAATGTCCTTCCTTCCCCCACTCTGCTGTAAACAATTTATTTGAAAGTCAGAGTTACACAGAGAGAGGAGAGGCAGAGAGAGAGAGAGAGAGGTCTTCCATCTGCTGGTTCACTCCCCAACTGGCCTCAATGGCTAGAGCTGTGCTGATCCGAAGCCAGGAGCCAGGAGCTTCCTCCTGGTCCCCTAGATAGGTGCAGGGGCCCAAGGGCTTGGGCCAATTTCCACTGCTTTCCCAGGCCATAGTAGAGAGCTGGATTGGAAGTGGAGCATCTGGTCTCCAACCAGCGGCCATGTGGGATGCTTGCGCTTCAGGCCAGGGTATTAACCCGCTGCGCCACAGCGCCGGCGCCAACAATTTCTTATAACTCTTTGTCTAAATATGTTTTATTTTGGGAAAAGAATACACACACGTATGTCATCAATATTAATTGGTCTCTTTACTTTTAACATTTCTAATAAGCATGTTGACAATTTTCCATATATATATATGAATACTTTCTGAGATCTTTGTTTTGTTCTCATCTGTTTGTGTCTCTTGATGTTGGTTTTATATATTCTTGATTATTCTTGCCTCTTTAATAAATCCTGATACCAAGATATATAAGATTTTTTTTCAAAGATGTTTTGGGTATTTTACGTCTTTTGCATTTCTGTAGGAATTTTAGAAGCTGCTTAGAAAATTCAATATTGCCTGCAGGGCTTTTGATGTCAATTAGGATTGCAATGATTGGTGTGGAGGGAGTTGAAATCTTAATATTCAGACCTTTGAACAAATTATATTTATTGTTCTGCTTTTAATTTCTTTTATCAATGTTTTAGAATTTTTAGTATACAGGTCTTCCACATATTTTCTTATATTTATCTCTATAGTATTTTATATTTTTGGTGTTAATTTAAATGGCATTTTTTTTTAAAGATTGCTTTGATTTATTGATTTGAAAGGCAGAGTGACAGAGAGGAGAGAGAGGGAAGATCTTTTAACTGCTAGTTCATTCCCCTAATTGTTGCAATAACCTTGTCTGGGCCAGGCTGGAGCCAGGAGCCAGGAACTCTATTCTGGTCTCCCAACTGGGTGGCAGGGCCCAAGAACTAGTGCCATCCTCATTTGCCTTCAGAGGCACATTAGTAAGAGGCCAGACTGGAAGTGGAGGAACCCAGACTTGAACCAGCACTCCTTTATGTGATGCCAGAGTGGCAGGTGGCTGCTTAACCCACTGAGCCACGATGCTGGTCCCTGCACTGGTTTTAGAAACCAGACACAATTCTTAGTCCTGTGTCATCTTTAACTACTGTTTAAATCTTTTAATCCTCTGGGATTTTTTTTTCCCTTGAATGAAATAGTTTACTCTTCTATAAGCATATGTTGATCAGTACTGTGCTGAATGTATGCACAATTTCTCTCTCTTTTTTTAATTTTTTTATTTTTTGACAAGTGCACAATTTCTCTCTCCATGCAGCTTCTCCTGTCCAGTAATCTGCTCTTTGAAATCTTGCTGCTTTTGCCTACCCAGACACACCTGTGTCCTCACCACTGAGTCTGCCAGGATCCATAGGACTCCCGTCCCTGAATTTTTTTTATAGTTCTATAGTTTTTAAAATAAAATATGATTCACATGTGGGCTTAAATTATTTGGAAATTAATTTACTTTGGAAAAAAAACAGGAAGCTTTAATTCTTTAGTCACCTAAAATTTTATTTTATTTTTCAGGGATGTTATTAATACATTAGTTTCTCAGGGTCACAGCTAATACATGATAATAACACCAACACAATTCTTATTAATTCTCATGTTAATATGATATTAATAATTAATAAAAGAAAACAGATTCAAGATAGTTCATAGATGTAATTCTAAGAGTATAATGATACTTCCCTTCCTCCCTTTCTCCCCTGTCACTTTTCTCCCTCTCTTTGTTCTCACCCTTCCATCCTCCCTCCCTCCCTCCCTCCCTCCTTCCTTCCTTCCTTCCTTCCTTCCTTCCTTCCTTCCTTCCTTCCTTCCTTCCTTCCTTCCTTCCTTCCTTTTCTTTCCTTCCTTCCTTCCTTTTCTTTCCTTCCTTCCATTTTAATTTTGATATAATGTTTTTAATTTATATTATAGTCAAAAGTTTAATGCTCCATTAAATGGAGAGTTCAACAAATAAACAGTGGTAAGTGGAAGGTGTCCAGCGCATAAGAAATTTTCCCAGTCAGATGAACCAATTAATTCACAAGCTTTTATTGGGATTCCGCACCCAGGCGAGGTTCCCCAGTCCCAACAGAGTGGGAGCTGGGGAAGTCGCAGGTCAGAGGTTGGGAGGGCTCCTTTTATAGACACAGGGCATGGGGTTTAAAGGTTGAGGCGAGTCTGATCCTCATTGGTTGACCTTTAGGCACCCGTGTGGACCTTGACAAGGACTTTTCCTTCCCAGAAGTGTGGGTAGGGACTCTCCATTCCCGGAAGTGTAGGTCTTCTCTCCTGGGGATCCCAAGGCTACCAATAAGACCATAGTTAAGCAGCA